CCCTTCAGAGCCCACCGGTGCCTGTATCTGCAACGTGCTAAAACTGCGTTGGGCCCGTAGGAACACCACGTGGTTTCTATGATACGTAATTAGGCATTCCAACAAATTAAAACCAAACTGCGTAAGTCAAGAGCCATCTTCTGAGAAACTGATTAACTTAGCTTCTCTGAACGGTTACGATGGCTCTGTCGATCAGCAGGAGAACAAAATGTTCTGCCGTGTCAGAGGAACTGCACATATTTCGGCTGGAAAGCCAGAAGGGAAGAGGTCACTCAGAAGACCTAGGGATAAATGGAAGAGAATGGATTCTACAGAATGTCATTGGAGGAAGTTATTGGATTAAACTGGCTCAGGTTAGAGACATGTGGTGAGGTTTTAAGAACACGTGGTTTTAAAATTATCAAGCACATCAAATTCCATCCCATGGAAATATGGACAAGACCACAAGCAGAAATATAATGATGCATATTCTTCTGGGTTATGTTGCCATGTTGACTGGTTAGACATAATGTCTTCATCTTCAGGGTTGAAGTGACAATGCTGGGTATCAGAGGAATTATATAGGATGGTTGGAAGCGAAATCTGAATGCATGGGCCAATCAGGACAGAGAGAGAGAGAGACAGGGGCTCTCCTTCCTGGTCCCTGATTCCCAGCATCATCACTCGAGCCCTGAAAATGGAGTGGGTACATTTCTCCAAATTGATGGTCAACATGGCTCCAAGGCACAGAAGATCAAATCTCACAATCAAAAGTGCATTTTGTTAATAGTTTTACTCAGGCAAATAAATTACAATATCTACAAATGTAATAAAAACAACATTTTGTGAATGCGGTTATAATGATACAGTCATAAAAATACGTGAGAACTAGAAAATATGCAGTGAGTTTAGAGACTTGACGTGTACCAAAACATGTTTTGAATGAACAAAATATTGAAGAAAACAATTTGTACACTTTGAATGACACACATGCAAATATATGTTACATAATATATAAAAATGGTAACTGCGTCTTGTGTCAAGGCCACATTATATCCAAAGCAAATGAAAGACAAGTTGATTCAGTGGAAACACCGTAATGCACCAAACGTGTTCATTTTTGGGTCTGAGAAACATCAGAACTTATTCTAACAAACAAAATTAAAAAAGAAACCATTCCATGCCCTTGCCATGATATAACGTGTTTCAGAAGATCAAATACGAAGATGGTAAAAATAATAATAATTATAATAAATGTATCTGTGCTTTGAAATTTGAGATTCTGAGAGTGAGGAAGATTTTGATTCTGTTCTGGTTTGTGATGTTGTAAATCATTTCCAACATTTTTGGAGACACATATCGCCTCCATCATTCAGCTTTTTGAGTTCAGATTCGTTAGGTCAGTGCTCCTATTTTCCAACTCCGGAATGCTTTAGCGTGCGAACACCTTTCGTTCCTCGTTGGGAACCATTACGCTCAATGAGAAGCGAGAATATCCCATTCCTACATCCGACCAAGTGCTTCAAAGGTTTAAGATGGAGTTGGTAAGAATTCGGACTAGCGTAATAATAAGTGCAGACGTCAACATAGTAACTGTCAGGATGCTTGACGTCACAGCTGTATGTGGCACCATATAAATGTTTGAAGATATCCGTCTTCTGGGTTATTGAACATCGACCAGACTACACAGCGCAATAACCCAGAAGACGGATATCTTCATACTCACCGCTGTGAGAACCTCAAGTCTTACATATAAATATTTGTTTGGTTAGAGAGGTTCTTGAGGAACGCGTTTGTACTCGCGTCGGTGCAATGCATCGGTGCTGTCCAGGTACCACGTCCCTGGGAACAGCACTTCCGGCGAAGCTAACGGCGTGTATGGTGCTGGAACAAAAAGGTCAACGATTAGATCTTGACTGTGATGGCATGCACAGTTGATTCTGGTGCTGATCTGGGGTCTACGGGGCAATCTCATTCACCCGAGGCACTCTGACTACTGCTGGGTTCATTGTGCACTACTTATCTTGTTAGCGCCCTTCAAAGAACCCTGATGCACTGATACAACAAAGTAAAACTGTCCGAGGGTCTTCGGCTGTAGTCATGCAGAGCTGAAGATCTCTAACCTGTACCTAGCGAACGTCGCGCGTTAACAAAGAATATGGCAGCGGGATTCCTTCTCCTATACTCGTTTCCTGCACTTGGAACTTTCAGAGACTCATCTCAATGTACATTGTCCAGTTAACAGCCCGACTGTTTCCGGTCTAAGGCCATTAGGTTCGAAGACCTTTATCAGAAGGCCCTCGAATGAACGGCTTCAACTGCCTCATGCCTGGTGTGACAGCCCAACGTTACTGAGGAATGGACTGCTCGATCCCTCCCTGGCCATTTCAACCGCATCCTCATTACACAGAATCCTACAGTAACCACGGATTCATCTAAAGTCATGGAAAAAATGAAAGTTGACTGGAATAATCAACAGTAATTACGATACTTCGTCCTTGGTAGAGGACATAATACATACCACCCAAAGTCGTACTACAAATGCCAGTGTTTATATCTAAATTCATTTTGTCAAATTATAATTATTTTATTTTCTTTCTCAAATCCAATTGTTATTCTACTGAGGATGTTAAAGAGATTTAAACTGTGACGTCATGAAGTAGATCTTTCGTATCCTACAGGGAGAACATTCGGTTTAACTTACTTCTTACGAATAAGATCATTATCGTGTTTAATTAAATAAAAATAAAAACACTTTAAGGCTAATGGATCCTGTTATTCTTGAATCAATGTCAAATGGCGAAGAATTTTTTAGTTATTTTGCCCGAATTTATAACTTGTGTTGGGCAAGGCCGTGGCCTAGGCAACACGGAGTTTTCCTCATTGGCATCCCAACAATTACTCCATTCACACTCAGAAGAAGGCAATGGTAAACCACTTCTGGATCATCTGCCAAGAACGTATATGAACAGGTCCCAGTCCGAGAAGAGAAAAGGATGGAAGGATCCTGTTCATATGGACCTGTCGTCAGACAGAACACTAAATAATAATAATTACGATATGTGAGAACTGTAACACATAAAAAGCTCTTATACTGCGATTAAAAATTCATACTCAACATTACCCTTGTGGTGATTCTGTTCTCGTATCTCCATGACGTACGAAAAATATTCCGGAGCAGCTTTGCGACGTTGATCCAGTAAAGGTTTGATGTGCGAGAGATTTGCAATGAGACGATGAAGAGAGGAGCCAGGGCCGATTTTTGATGAGATGCGCAGAGAGTACATGGTGGAGGAGAGTCCAGAACCGTAAGAAAACAAACCCACACGTTTGCCTGCAAGTTCTTGGATGTCTCTGCTGCAAATAAGATGATATAATTAATATAATTAATGCATTCAGAATTCAAGTCTTGCGCTCAGAGCGACTTCTGACAGCAACAACACCTCGATTCTTCCTTTAAATGATACAATCCAGTGGTGATCAGAATTTTCTGAGTTACCGACTGACCAATGTCTTCTAGAAAGATGTTCAATTACGTACGTACCAGAAAAGGATGAAATTTGGCTTACCCACCAGCACACTTACCTAATTAAAAGTGATACGAGACCTCCGTACAGACACGCCGTGTACATATTTCCCACTTGATTTGATAACAAGAGAGAAGGCTTTGTTTTTTCTTCGAAGATTCTTCTACTCTGTTCCATAAATGCATTCTCAATATCACGATTGAAGTACGTGTCTTCAAGCTTCACATTTCTAGAACGGAGAAAATTGAAGTTTCATTTCTGAATGAATTATTTGATTTCACAATTTACTCATAAAAAATTTTTGTGTTCTGTTGGGAGTAAATATTCCGTGGTATAATTCAGAGATGGTGAACCACAAGTCAGTGTGCCAGTTGGCGTTGGTTAGCACACCACTGATGGCTGAAAAACATCTGAAATCGACTTCCTTACAATTTTAGCAACATTATGAAAAGTATATTTATTTTGTACAGTCTATACACAAACGTTTGAAGTTTATTGGTGTTGTAAAAATTATATAATATTAAAACATTTTATTGTGTAAAATATTATATTAGCGCATGTTTTAATAAAAGCGCTAAAAATATAATGTAAAATCGTATTTACGATTAAGAGCGCTAATATAATATTTTACACAATAAAATATTTTAATATTATATAATTTTTTACAACACCAATAAACTTCAAACGTTTGTGTAAAGACTGTACAAAATAAATATATTTAATCAAACACAAACATGACGCATATAAGATACAAATTATGAAAAGTGTTTGTTATGATATGAAATGATTTTTAGTTAGTACCTGTTTAAACAGAATCTGAAACAAATATTTTTTAAACATCTCTTTTTATTTTTTTAATGTGGTATGGAATCTGAAAATTGTTTGTAAAACTTGATATAATTTCGTGATTAGCTTTTATGTGCCTCGGAGAAAAACAGCAGATCTCACTCTTGTATTATAAAAGTGCAAGACAAAGTTTTTCGTAAGTGTGATGCGTAAAAGTTCAAAAATGTCAACAAGGTTTTGTAGTCAAAAGAACAATTGTCCCTAAATGATAAAATAGACAACAAGGAATTAATATTATTTGTATTTAAGAGTGTACTTCACTTTGTAATTAGAGAAGCATAAAAGTAGGTCGTTATGTGCCTACTCAAAATGGCCACTATGTAGTAAATGAATATTAATAATATATAGTTTCTGCCCCTGTACCTGAAGAAGATTTTATCCGAAGGCATGTAATTACTAATTGTTTCTGTCATCTGTTTATTATGCCAGAAATTAGTTAATATTGCGTTAGTTTTCATTTGACCTTATATGTCATATTTCAGTCAGAATTTTTGAATTTTCTATTATTCAAATTTCAAAGCACATTAACATAAGTACGTTCATACATTTTGCACCAGTTATTTGATGATGGCTGACTGTAATTTTGCCTTGGTTCACAAACACAAAGAAACACCTCTTCATAGAGCAAGACCTCAAATACATCGCACGTCTCGTATTCAAAATTGACATTGGCAATGAAAATCTTTGAAGCGTTTCAACTTCTGGGTTCCTAGGGATCTGTTTTACGTACCTGAATTTCTCAAGTCCTGGGTATTTAAGAGGAAGGTCCTCTTCTGGCGTCCTCACAAAGTCATTGAGCGTAAGTCGAGCCACAGATTTCTGAACCAGTTTACAGTATGGAGAGTGGAACAACACTGCGTCCAAATACGTGAGATCGATTTGCTGATGTTCATGTCCTGGCAACAATAAAATTGACACTGATTGTTTATGCAGCTTTTAATTGTCTTACTTTGCTTTTTATGTTGTTGTAAATGATGGAACGTTTTCAAAGTAATGTTGTCAGTTATTCACTTATTTATAGTACATCTGCTTTTTGTGTTTACGTAATATGAAATTATTTACTGGGCTGTTAAGGAATTATATTTCCAACCGATTAACCATTCACTGATTAATCAGAAAATTCTTTGATTGATAGAACTATAATAGATCATCTGAAATGACAAATAATTTGAATTTGATGTTGGTCTTCTCGGAGTTACGTAGATTCCAAAATTTCAGAGTCCACACGGTTTGCAGTCTCAAGTTGACGCCACTGTTTTCGAGTTGTATAACACAAATACTAACTAACAAGGTCGTTTGAGAATAAGAACAGAGATTTGTAATAACTCACAGTTTCAAATAAATGTAGCGCTCATGCACGAGATGTGAACAATATTTAAAGATAATTTTTAATTCTGGGATTTGAGAGTTAATGACGTCAGACTATGCATTGTGAAAAGTTAATCAACCAAGCAAGTGATTACTTAAAGTACCAATTGCTTGTTATGCGAGGCCTCTTTCTTTTCGTGTAATTTCTCTCCATTAAGTAGCAGAGCTTTTGATGTCTGGTCTAAACAGTCACAAGACCGAGGAACATTAACAAGGATCTCCTTACGCTGTTTCATCTGTGGTCCAGTTTTTTTTTTTTACAAAAAAGTCAATAATCTTTTGTAAGCGTGTGTTGAATATTTTGTGGTTTGTTTAATAGCTGTACCAGGAGCTCAGACATTCTCGCGTTGAATTCTAGGGTGTTTAATGAATAAAAACTGGAAATAATATGGACAGACGTGATTGCTGCCTAATTTAAGACACTGTCCCAGAATTAGAACTCAAGAACTCTGGATGAAATGAAAACTTTAGTCACGAGAGTCAGTCTCTGGGGAAAAATATGAACCTGGGACCTTTTTCGTTTTCTGCTGAGACATTATGGCGCGCGCTGGCATTCCTTTAACATAAAAAGACAAATTCACGTGCATCGTTACATATTACGCAAGTTAATTCATAAAATTTCATGTAAATAATATGAATAATGACTTGAGGACAGAAGTCAGATACGTGTTCAGAAAATGTTTCTCAGAAATTTGTTAGAATGCTCATACATAATTTTCCCAGCCGATCATAATAATAATCTGAAAATAATTTGGATCAAACCTTTTGCTTGCAATTTCTCGCTCTTGGAACAAAACAGCTGATAACAGCGATCCAATGCACCCAGATAACACTGTACAGAAAGTCTCCCATCAACTGTAGGATATTCTGACAAAAGATCTGGTTTGTAGAAGTCATAAGTATGTGCCATGTAAGTAGCACGGGCTCCTGAAACAAAAAGTAATTAGTTTCGCTTGACAAATATTTTTCTTTGAAATTTATACATAGGCTTTGTCCCGCCACTCTCACGCAAAATTTTTGTTAGCAAAATATAAATAAATTCATACGAATTCATGTGTGTTCATGGGGTTCATACCTCTGTCTATGACGAGGGGTGCATTGGGCCCCACTAACATTGCAACGGCCCCAGCTCCGCCTGTAGGACGCGCATTACCTTCTTTATACACTGCAATGTCGCCCGCCACCACAAGAGCGAGCCGACCTGAAAGACGTTTGCAGAACTGATACATAGATGGCACCACAGACACAGGCATTGGTTCCATTGTACATTGACATTACCGCTAAAAAGCCGATAACACATTCACATTGTTTATCTTATTTCAAAAATTACTCATAGTTGTGCATATTGGGCTTATGTAACACCAATGTTTACGATAAATCGTGTTGGTGCTCGTTATTACGATGGTTTTTAGGACAGCAAAGCAGGCGACTTGTTCTTACATCGAGATAAAACAGTTCCTTTCGGTGGCATTGTTGGGTGATTTAAAGAAAGCTTATTTTTAATATTTAAGAAACTTATTCCGTTTATTCTTTCTCGTGGATATGCACAAAATAAAACAATTATTACCGTCCCACGAACTGGATTCGACCCACGACAGCGCATTGAAGAGGGCAGCAGTGCCGCCATAGCACGCGTTGGTGGTATCTACGCCTTCAATGTCGCTGTTACCACTTCCTTCGAACAGCTGCATAAGAACAGTCTTCACGCTTTTGGATTTGTCTACGATGGTTTCGGTACCAACCTCCAGATGTCCGATACTGGCGTAGTCTGCAAAGACACACACACACACACACAGCCTTCTAAAAGAGACACGAGAAGCATTCTTGAAAAGAGTGTAAAATCGAGCTTGAATTCGGCTCACCCAAACCATTCGTAACGAAGTGGCGATTACATGCACTGTCTGCTCTCCTGCTCAAATTCAATATGAATTAATTATATTTATAACTTCATATTGTCTTGATGTGGAAAATATTGGCTTCCTCACCTTGACTTAAACTTCTGTAACAGGAGCTCCACGACGTGGCTCTTAGGAACAAACGTAGCTTGAAGCATGAAATACGCGAAATGTAAATACAAAAATGTGTTCGTAATTAATATTTGTCCCTAAGACGTATGAAGGATCTTCATGCTCTATTAAATTGTTCTTTTGGACTTTGTCTATCGTGTAGATGGCATTAAAAGCACAGCGTTTCGAAAGTTGGTTCTACTTCCGTCTTCAGGTGAAATATTCAGGTCTCAGAATCGATCGTTCGAAGAGACGACTTCTAGCCATCTACCCATAGATTTGTAGATAATATTAAAATTAAATTTCTTGAATTAATAGAGTGGAAAGTGTGGACTGGAAGCAACAGAGGACTCTTATTCAAGTGTTAATGATCCTTTCGGTTGCATTCCAAGCCTGAACTACAACTAACGAGAGGAGCCCAACAATGGGAGACTACGAATTGCCGCTTTCAAATCCGTGGCGCTAATGTCGTCTGGCCCGCAGCTGTGGCCATTGTTAGAGCTGATTTACACTGGATTAGAAGGGGATTACATTGATCGAGTTGAATCAAACAGTTTAGGAAAATATTCTTACTTACCAATATCATTTCTTTCCATCAGTTTGCTGACGACGGTAAGACACAGGGAGTTAATGTCCTCTCTGTCAGTACAGAAGCCCATCCTGGCCTGCCCAAGGCCCAGCGTGTATTTTCCGACTGAGACTCCGTCATAAACTTCCATTTCACTTTGTTCCACGTACTCTGATGGAAATATGAGCTCGATGGCCAGAATCCCGACACTTTCAGGCCACTGGTCCATGTCTGCACTGGAGGGAGAGGGAGGAAACCATATGTTACTACTGTCAATAAATATCGGTAATAATTGTGATGGATTATTGGCTTCGTCGTCATAGATTATGGATAAACCTGTGTAAAGTTTTTTTTAATTTCTCCGAAACGTCGGAAACTTCTTTTAACACAACATTACGTCAGTAAAGATCTAAAAGTGGAACATAAGCGTATCGAAGAAACAGCGCGCAACACACAGACAACATTTTCTACCAAAACGTTGGCATTTGCGTACAAATTCTCGGGACGCTTGAACTCCCAAGACCATCGGTCACTGCGCGTAATGCACCTGACATTTTGTTACTGTAACGATGGAAAGTAATTTGTAAATAAACGCCTTAGCACTGGGTGCACAGTAGATCGTCGGTGAGACTGTCAGTAACTGAGCATTGCTGATTCCTTTTATTGACCTCGACAGTCGCAAGTGTCGACCTTGACACATTCACATCGCTATTATTCTAACGATATGAACTGAGACCACTTACGAAGGAACACAGATCTCACTTCAGAGTCTGGGCCCAAGCGTACTTGTAGTCTACACCAGTGGTATTCAACCTGGGGTACGTGAAATTTAATAAAAATATTATTTTATGATAAACACTGAATAATCAGTAATGTAATTTATTTAATTTATTTTAGATGTAGATTATATACTATGTATAACTTGAATTATACACCAAAAACTTTGGGATGATAAACACTGAATAATCATTAATGTAATTTATTTAATTTATTTTAGATGTAGATTATATACTATGTATAACTTGAATTATACACCAACAACTTTGGGGGTACAAAGTTGAAGAGAAATTATATCTGGGGGGTACGCGAACAAAAAACGTTGAATACCACGTTCTAAACGTGAATGAATCAATTTTTAAACGACAAAGTATATCCCGTTAATGAGGTAAATCCTTCGTCACTTAAAACGAGAGTGGTAAATGCAATCTGTACCGGAAAATACATGTCCTCATGGCGTTCTTTGCAGCGCGCATTTAGACGTATTAAATCAGCCTTTTTCGATTCTTCCCATTTCGGCCACCAGATCGGAGCACCTAAATGTCTTCCACATGATTTTCCTCATCCACCATTTTGTTATAACGACTCTTTGGATATTAAAAAGTACGGTTTAAGTAACTAATTCCTGCATTCGCGTAGAAAGAAAGAGGAAAACTATGAAATGTCTAAATCAGGATAACAGTATCAGGCTCATGTGTGCGCTGCATCGTTATTACACAAACAGGAAATGTAATGTCGTCACGAGCAGAGCTTTTTGTAGTTTGTTGCTCGCAGCTGACGAAAACTCAAGGCTTACCCAACATGCTTAAGTCAGCCCAGAGAAACGTAACTATCAGCTTCTACTTTGCCAATATTCATTTTATTAAAGCGTAATTTTCGTGTTTTGTATCAAATTGCGTTCAGTTTGAGCTGTAATACCTTAGCAGTCACTAGTAATAAATAATTCCATTTACGTATTTTATATTTTACTCTGTTTATGTACTCCCTCAGCCCAGGGGACGACAGCGGTCCTGATGAAGCCACTGTGTCCAAACGAAAGCCTAGACTGTATATTTCTCGAAATCAAATATGATATTTATATCCCTGCCCGAAGATGATTTCTTATTTTTAGCCAAAAACTTAAATTACAAGTTAAATTTAAGTTTCTCACGGCTACGAGTATGAAGATCGTTGATTTATGGAACGTTGTAGCATCGCGTAGTCTACTGATACTGACCGACATTTCGGAAGAGTTTCGTGGGATTACGGAGGCTGTACAGTCCTTTGAAACGTCGGTCAGTATCAGCAGACTACGCGACACAAGATCCCACAAGACAGCCATCGTCTGGTTACAAGTGTCTGAAAATTAAGTGCTGAATAGGACATTCAGACATTTGAAGGACTTGGGGGTCTCGTGAAAAGCGGAGGATTTTTTAACTGGACGAGTGACTGTTAGCTTCTAGAGAACTCTGCCCCTGGAATTGGATGCACTGGAATGTGCTTTCCAGGCATTTCCGTGCAACAGCTGCGGGAATCTTGAAAGTGCAGTGACGTCTTGTTGAGGAATTTGAGGTATAACACGGCGGTGAGCTCCAAGATGGCTGCCTTCTGGTTTGTTACGCCTTGAAGTTTGGTAGAAGTTTTCAAACGTTTCAGAGGTCCTCGCTGCCTGATGTTGGACGGAGGAACGTTCAGTAAACTTCTACCAGACTACACGGCGCTGCAACCCAGAAGGCAGCCATCTTCGAAACCTTCGTTTATTAAATGTTGGTCACAAAACGAAATCCTGCAAGTTTTGTGTTCCCTGTGCAGATTTTTAGACTGTGTGGCTGACGAGCTTAGATGCCCAGAAACTCACCTGACTTCATGGACAGAATATCTTTGTTTGGACGCTGACTTCCTGCACTTTCAAGTGCTCTGCCATGATCTATTGACGACTTAAGCTCACGACAGAAGAATGAGTTCCTCCACACGTCATTGTTATGTTAAAAGTTTTCGAAGGGTTCACAGAGACCTTGGCCTCTAGCCGACCGATTTGCATAACCGATCCGGATAGTGAGTGTGCGAATGGCTGTTCTGCTACGCATTTGGGCTGGATGAATGAACAAGTGCATGGTCGTGACCCCCTCAACAAAATCGGTCCGTCGACAGGCACGCGTCAGCTTCGTGTTGTTTGCGTCGTTTTTTTCCGACGCTGCATCAGCGTCGAAAAACGAATGAGTGGATCTTCATGAATTGGAAGCGAGGGGGGTGGGAGTGGGGGGGCTGGTAACAGGTCTTCGTGGTGGTCGGGATTCGACATCTCGGAGGTATCAGGATCTAATTTCGGTCGGGGCATGCTCCCTCCATTTTAGCCACAGAAATCCGGGAGGATTACCTCAACATACACTACGATCGTGTGGGGTCTGTGGTTCTCACGTTGTGACACCACTCACATCCTCAAATCTCAAAATGGTCGAAATTTTCCCTGATGATGGAGACACAGAGAGTCTCCGAATTGACGTGGCTGTCACCCGAGAGGATTATTCTCTCTGTTTGTCTCCGCGAGAGGTTCAAGTCATTTATTTTCATCAGCCATCATAATATATCATTATATTTTTTAAATCACAGCGAAATGTTGGCAAACAGATGGTTGACAGACATAAAGCACTTCCTGAAACTGAAATGAAATGCAATTTTCTGATCATATTTCGGCACCGAGTGGTTATCACTCTTTCTTCGAGTACCGAGTTCAAACCTGGGCTCGGAGGCCGGATGTCCCGATTCAGATTTCTTGTTGTTTTCCTCAGTCCCTCCAGGCAGTAGCAGGGATACTACCTTAACTTCCAATTCATTCATTAATTATTTTGCCATTCGACTCTTTACATTGTGAGCTACTGGCAGAAAATTTTCAGGAGGAAGTGATGACGTTCGAGTGTCTTTAGACCTGACGTCACACGTAGGGCTACTTGCAAGAACGCAATGGATGATCTCACCGTGCGCATGCGTCATTAATAATTCCGAAAGTTCGGAATTTGTCCTTCTGTCGAGTCTCCGGGGATTTAACTTCAGCGACTTATTTAGCAAAGCGGAAAGAAGCAACATTTAAAACGTACGTCCATGTGTCTTACTGACAGTGACAGTGACATTGTGTGAATATGAAGCTAGGAATCGACGTACTTGTGGGTTGTGACGCCGTCTAGACTCTTAGGCAGACACCAAATGCCTCCAAATCCGAAACCTAGAAGCCCACAACGGCGTCACAAGCCAGAACAACAGCGGTGACATCTTCACCTCTGCCACATCTTAAGATAGGCTCGGCAGATAACAAAGAGGTTCAGTTGTAGCACAGAAATGAATGCCATATTTTAAAAGTATTTTTAAAACGGTAACTTATCGATTGTCTCGCGAGGGAAAAAACAACTCTTCTTATAAGTTATGTGTTAATGTTATTGGTTATAAAGCGTTTATGTTCATAAGAATCTGTATGAATTACACTTGTAAGCAGCGATAATTTGTACAGTGGAATAATTAATAAATAAAAATGGCAGACATTTGAATTTAGACGTACATTAATAGAGGTAAGAGACCTTAAGAGAATTTAAAATGGTGTGTACACACGCATTTATCATACCTGTTTGCAACAGCATTCAGAATGCCAAAATGTCAAAGTGCAAAGAGCTGATGAGCTTAAATTCTGTGTACTCAGATGCTGATCAGGGGTGCCAACGTAGGTCTTACTGATGGCCTTATTTAGAGGCTTATTCCGCAATAAAAAAAGAAGATCGACTTTTTCGGGACAAGTTGTGCCTCAACTGTCTCACACCAGTAGCTCAAAATGTATACCGTCGAATTATCGGACGATAAAAAATAATTATTTGGAAAGTATTTGAAAGGAAGTGGTCGTCGCCTAATTTAAGGCACTCTCTCGGAATTCACCCGTGTCTGTAATCGGCCATCTGGCTGTTCATACAACGCACTAAACCAGAGAGTCGACGTAAACGGAATTTAAATGCTATCTCGTAACTTGAGCAGATGTTCGTTATGTAAGCGGCTAATTCACAGCTTTTATAGAAACAAAACTTCCGTCTCATTTTCCGAAACTTTGTTTTTCAGACAAATTTACCTTCATCTCAGTGCTGTGAAAATCTTACAATGTGTTTAGGTGGTATTTGAGGAGGTAATGGGGTGTTTCAAAATTCCAAATTAATAAACAATGTATTTATATATTTTTGTATGTGAAATATGTGGGGAAAGTATATATTCAAAGAAGAGCATTGTAAGAATAAACGTGTGCTTTTATCGCCCCGAGAAAGTGTCGTCGTGGTGAAAGCAGTTCCTGAGAAAAGGGCAAATGAATCTGACAGATTTATTATTGCCGACGCGAAAGGTACAGAGTCCCCTGAAATGAGAAAATTTTAATTACCGCCTCTGGTACTGCAGTCAGAGTGCGCAGGGCGGGCAGTTCCTCCAGAAGCTCTCGTTTGGGGCAGAGATTAAGTAAAAGTGAAGACTACGAACCGTTACCTGGTAGGAGTAGGAGTCGCGATGCGTCCTCCGGCTGGCGTGCTCGCCGACTACTGGCTTCTCAACCTGTCGCTCATTCCACTTCTCGCATTTGCGTGCCTGCAGAAGGCGAAAGCCGGTATGAGCTGTTATCGGAACTTCGGGTATGAAACCATCGGCAATGCGTACGGAGGGGAGGAGCTGGAGAAATGGTTGAAGTTGAGAGTTATGGCAAGTCATCATCCGCGGACAGGTACGACGCCACATGACAGAAACGAATCTCAGAGGCACAGAGGATTTTAAGGCGTCAATTTGATTTCACTAGCTCACGAGAGTACCGCCACGGTGGTCTAGCGGCCAGAACACTAGCCTTGTAATCCTGGGGTCTCGGGTTCGATTCCCGGCGGTGCCCGAATTTATAACTTGTGTTGGGCAAGGCCGTGGT